CAGCTGAACTGGATCTATTTCACAGATTATCTGTCATGTTTTTACATCCATCCATCCATCCATCCATCCATCCATCCATCCATCCATTCATCCATCCATCCATTTTCTGTACACGCTTCTTCCTTTTCAGGGTCACGTGGGTCACTGGTGCCCATATCCAGCAGTCACAGTGCGAGGGGCGGGGTACACCCTGGACAGGTCGCAAGTCCATCACAGGGCTCACAATATACAATCATACAAAAACACATGCAAAACACAAATACATGTCCAGACATTTACATACAACAATAGATTTGAAATTCTTCAGTGAGTGCATGGCTGGGAGCTTTTAAGAAACTGTTTAAGATGCTTTTTAAATGTACAGTAACTGGGACAATCCCTTATATTTGTTGGGAGACTGTTCCAAAAGTGACCTCCTTTGACTGACAGGACAGTTTGTACAAAGGTTGTTTTCTATGAGGAATCTCTGAAGGAGGCTCTAATGCTAAAACCTCTGTCAGTCCTTGGTTTAACATAACTAGAAAGTGGAGGTGATGTTAAATTATTAAGAACTTTATATATTAAACAACTATTTTTTAAATGAATAAAATGTTCAAAATTGAGCATATTATATTTTTCTAAAGAATTACACTGATGGAATGACAGGGGCTTTTGATCAAAGATTTTTAAAGATTTTTGAATAACGTTTCTATTGGTTTTAAAGTTGTGTCTCCAGTGAGTGACCAGGTTGTGATGCAGTACTCTATGTGTGAGAATATCATTGTGTGGAGGAACATTTTTGCAGAACTGATTGTCATTAATGATCCGATTTGCCTAAAGTTTTGTAAACTGAATTTAATTGTATTTTCAGTAAGTTTTTAGGTTGTTAATTTACTTCTTAGTGTAAAATATAAGTCAAACATTTTTAGAACCACATGGGAGTATAGTTTTATAGTTATTTAAAATATAGAACACAGGCAAAAACATAAATCTATTTTATGATAATAACAAGCTGTGGCTCCACAAGACTAGAAAACTGTGTTTTAACACATCAGCTGTAAAAGCAATTTTGGTTTAAGATTTAAACCTAAACCCACAACAGGAACAAGCTGGAGAACATGGATGGATGGGTATTAGTTACAAAACATTTTGTTAAAACATGACATCTTCAGGATTCACACAAATAAGATTCCATCTGTTATTTGGATTAGTATTTTTTCAGTACGTGAAGGTGATGTGGCGGTGCAGTGGTCAGAGCTGTTGTCTCAGCAAAAAGATTGCAGTTTCAAATCTCAGCTGTAATTTTCCTCTTCTTGGGTGGCTCAGCTTCAGAGATAGTGAGAAGTAGCTGCTGCTCATTCGATTCAAAAGCAGTCGGATAAGATGGTTCAGGCATCTGATAAGAATATCTCTTTCAATCATCCCTGGGGGGGGGGGGGGGTCTTTGGGCACATGACACTGGGAGGAGACCACCAAGACCGACCCAAAACTTGCTGGGAGCACCTTTGGATTTCCTCTTGAACCTGTTGCCTTCAAGGCCCGAACACAGACAACTATTTTCTGTGTGGAGTTTTCTTGTTATTTATGTGCATATATATAT